CTGTCGGCGCTGTCGGTGCCGTATAATAGGTATGTCGGTGGAAAAAGTAGGAAATAAGAGAAATAAATAGAAGGCTCTAGAGAATAGAATAGTAGGCCGATTGAGATGAGATAAAGACCAAAATAAAGAGGAGAAAAAGGAGAATGGGATAACGGAAAAATATAATAGTGAGAAAATATTATAACGGGGACGTCCTCTCACACAGGTGCTCACGAGTGGAGGGAAGAGCAGGCGCTCGCCAGGCGAGCAGGGCCGGCGCTCGGCGGGCGGCTGCACGGGGTCCAGGGGCGGCGTCGCGGGTCCAGGGGCGGCTGCACGGAGTCCAGGGGCGGCTGCACCAGGGGCGGCTGCTGCAGGGGCCAGGGGCGGCTGCTCTGGGTCCAGGGGCGGCTGCTCAAGGGTCCAGGGTTGGCTGCTTCAGGGGCCAGGGGCGGCTGCTCGGTGTCCAGGGGCGGCTGCTCCAGGGGCGGCTGCCTCAGGGGCCAGGGGCGGCTGCTCGGGGTCCAGGGGCGGTTGCTCCAGGGGCGGTTGCTGCAGGGACCAGGGGTGGCTGCTCTAGGTCCAGGGGCGGCGCTCGAGGGTCCAGGGGCGGCTGCACGGAGTCCAGGGGCGGCTGCACCAGGGGCGGCTGCTTCAGGGGCCAGGGGCGGCTGCTCTGGGTCCAGGGGCGGCTGCACCAGGGGCGGCTGCTTCAGGGGCCAGGGGCGGCTGCTCGGGGTCCAGGGGCGGCTGCTCCAGGGGCGGCTGATGCAGGGGCCGTGGGCGGCTGCTCTGGGTCCAGGGGCGGCGCTCGAGGGTCCAGGGGCGGCTGCACCAGGGGCGGCTGCTTCAGGGGCCAGGGGCGGCTGCTCTGGGTCCAGGGGCGGCGTAGCTGGTGCAGGGCAGCGCGCTGGTCCCACAGGCGCCGTGACGGGCGACGGGGGGCAGCGCGCCGTCACCGGAGGAGGTGACGCGCGGGGCCGGCGGCAGGCTAAAACGGGGCCGAAAAAACGGGCTACGCGGGCGGCGGACGCGGCGCGCAGGGCCTAAGCAGGCTGCGCGCGGGCGGCTTACGCGACGCGCGGGCCGGCGGCAGGCTGCGCGGGCGGCTAACGTGGCGCGCGGGGCCAAAAACAGGCCTAAACGGGCTGCGCTCGGGCTGCTTAAGAGGCGCGCGCGGGAAAAAAAAAAGGGCCGCGCGCGGGCAGTAGGCAAGGTAGGTAGGCACGTGAGGTAGGTAAGAAGTAAACGGTGGGCCCTAATCCTAGGTCCTAAGGACCTATGCTCTATATGCCATGTGAGAATCTTAGGCAAGGATGATGCATTGGGTGAAAGTTGGGGTACAAGACTAGGGTGTCGAGAAGTTTTTTGTACCCCCTAAGGCTAGCCCCAATATAGCCTAAACAATAACATGCATATATTTTGACATGACTCAGCTGCAACATCTTTCCCTCTACCACTGTGCTTCCCTCGAGATTCTCCCTGAAAGCATCTGCTTCCTCCCCCTCTCCTCCCTCTCCATCTCCTACTGCTACTCCCTCACCGCACTCCCACACCACATCGGCTCCTTGTCCCAACTGCAAACCCTAAATCTCCTCGACCTTGATGATTTCCGGGCATTGCCCGAAAGCCTGGGTAACTTACCCCGGTTAAAAACGCTCCAGCTGAATCTGTCCGCACTAGAGCATCTGCCTGAGAGATTTTGTGAGGGCAGTCTTCCAGCATGCCTGGAGAAGCTGACTCTGTCGCGGTGCGAGAAGCTACAGGAGCTTCCTCCCGCACTGTACAAGCTGACTCGTTTAGAATCACTCAATATCGAGTCATGCTTGCTTATAGAGTCTTTGAAGCCGCTGATCCCTCCAACCTTCCCTGAAGGATTTGGAAGTGAGTCTGGAAGTCAGTCCAGGCTCTCTGTCCCTGCCTCTTCCCCTGCCCCTGCCTCTGCCTCTGCCTCTGCCCCTGCCCCTGCTTCTGCCTCTGCCCCTGCCCCTACCTCTGCCCGTGCCTCTGTCTCTGCCTGTGTATCTCTACCTCTCTTAGACTCTGCAACAAACATCACCGAACAACACCCAGGTCTAGTGTCCCTCACTGAGTTAAAAGTTTCCCACTGCCCACTCATCTCTTCCCTCCCATAAAACCTTTCCTTCCCTGCCCTTCACACTCTCACCTTACACTCCCTGGGCAACCTGAATAATCTCCTGGGCTTATCCAGCAAGCAGCTGCCCAAATAGCAACATCTGGATTTGGAGGGTGTGGGGGCCGATTGAGCCTTGTCTCTGGTTGACTGCTTTCGAAGTGCGGGCTGAGAGAGTGTGGCTTCCGCTCCATGTCAAGCCTCTGTTTGTGCTTCAGAGGCTGCTGGATTTATTTCTGCAGCTGGCTCTGCAGTGGACATTGAATGGCTGTTCGGTTCTCCAGGGTATCTGCGCTTGGTCGGCTGGTTTAGCTCGCCAGTGCTAAGATAGTCAAACACTTGCGAAACTTTTCACAATGACCAATGATACAGCTCATTTTTCACAATGCATCGTTGCAAGAATCGTCACAAACGAGGATGTTGAGCACGTGATGCGGTTCGATGTTTCCGAGAAAGCGTGACGTGGCGCCAGGGTGTCATGGAATTGTCGAGGCTATCTAGGCTCGAGTGAAAGCTTCGCAAGCCATCCAGGCACACCTTCGTGCCTTTCTTCGGCTCGTACGAGATGCTCGGGAGGAAGTCGGTTCGAGTCTGAAATACCGCTTCAAACCACACCGGCGCCATCAAGGACCGAACTAAATCATCTCAATCCACCTGTTGGAGAATCCGACGTTCCTCCAATGTACCAGAGATAACAATGCACGCAACTAATCCCTAGGATACAGAACGAATTTCAGGGAGTTCCCATCCCATGACGCCATTCTTGTATGTTATGCGCGAAGACTCGTTACAGGAGCTCGTTTCGCCGCCCGAGAGCATCGGCGCGCTGCAGCGGCTGCAGGAATTGCGGATCGGCGCGGGAAATAACTTCCGCGGTCTGGACGAGTGCGTGGGCCTTCTGAGCAACCTCCGCACGCTGAGCATTAGTTATGAGCCTTATGCGGAAACTGTCACAGAGCTTCCTGAAGCAATTGCCGACTTACCACGGCTGGAAATCCTACAAATTGACCTGGATGGGCTAGAGAGCATTCCGGAATCTTTCCGACTGCTGACCGGCCTGAAAGCTCTCTCGATTCAATCCAAATGTTTGCAGTTCCTGCCCGAAGATGTTATGGCGGCGCTGACACAGCTGCAGCATCTTTCCATCAACGGCTGTGATTCCCTCGAGATTCTCCCAGATAGCATCTTCTTCCTACCTCTCTTCTCTCTCTCCATCTCCTCCTCCTTCTCCCTCACCTCCCTCCCACACCACATCGGTGCCTTGTCCCATCTGGAAACCCTGCAGCTCCTTGACCTTGATAGTATCTCAGTTTTTCCCGAAAGCCTGGGTTATTTACCCCGGTTGAAAACACTCGAGCTGGGTCTGCCCGCGCTGGAGCATCTTCCCGAGGGATTTTGTGAAGGCAGCCTGCCGGCTTGCCTGGAAAAGCTGAGTCTGACAGGGTGCGGGCAGCTACAGGAGCTTCCTCCCTCTCTGTACAAACTGACTCGCTTAGAATCACTCCACATCGAGTCATGCTCCCGTATAGAGTCTCTGAAGCCGCTGACCCCACCACCCCTCTTTGTCAAAACCGTTCAGGCTGGCTGGCTGAAAGGGTGACCACTGGTGCAGTCTGCACTGCTGAAGTCTTTGCCTTGATGCTGCTGATCTCCATACCGCTCCGCACCGTGCAAGAGCTCATGGCACCGCTCTCCGCCACACACGACATCCGACTTCCGGTGATGCTTGTCCCCATTACAGTGCTCGTTTTTGCTGCCGCAAGAAGCAAGAACACCTTTGCCATCCTTGGGTCGCTGATTCTTCTCGTGGTGGTGCTGCTGATTGCTCTGATTCCCCGTGCTTGGCTCTATCCTGCCATGCTGCTTGCTGCTGCACTGCTGGTGTCCACCTTCCTATGTCTCAAGGCCTGCATCTCTGCCTATCTCTCTGCCTCTGTACCTGCACCAAATATCTCCGAACAACACGCGGGCCTAATGTCCCTCGCCGAATTAAAAGTTGCCAACTGCCCGCTCATCTCCTTTCTCCCAGAAAACTTCTCCTTCCCTGCCCTTCACACGCTCACCCTACACTCCCTGGGCAAGCTGAATGTTCTCCGGGATTTATCCAGTAAGCAATTGCCAGAATTGCAACATCTGGATTTGAAGGGAGTGGGCATGGTGTCAGACATGGTATGGCTAGTTGACTGCCTTCCCGGTGTGCGATCGAAGAGAATGCTGCTTCTGGTGCATGCATTTCCGATGTTTGTGCTTCTGGTGTGGCTGGATATGCTGCTGGTGTGTTTGTACTTTCCTTTGTTATTGATATTCAAGGGCTGTTCAGCGCTGCAGGGCGCATGCACTTGGTCGGGGATTCTTGCACGGCTACTATTGAGACGTCGCAGAAGTCTGTTGCAACTGGCTTTCTTGTGGATGCGGAAGGGTAATTCAGTGCTGCAGGGTGCCTGGACTTGGTTGGCTGGCCTTGCACAGCAATCGTGCAACAGATTAGCATACGGGTGGTGTGTGGGGAGGTGGAAGAAAACAACCCACTTGTTGTGTTGTGAGTTGTGACTGAAGATTGTACAATGTACAGGCTGGTATATAGATAGATGGTGTAGGAGTTGGTAGACTGTAACATGCTTGTCTGATAGTGTAACTGATATGGACTAAAGCAGCCTTTCAATGTAGGGTTGAAGAGCCATAATATCGTAAGCGAGAGTTTCTTATAATGGGAGTGACCACAAATGTTTACGCTAGAGTCATGCTTGCTACCCGATTCTAATTTTCCTAACAATAGTATGCCCCATAGATTCAATACAGCAGTGCTGACAGCGCCACTGCCAGCAAGGGAAACGCATCAGTGCCAGCAGCAGCACTCATCAATGCGCGGCAACAGCTGCAGCAATCATCAATGCGCGACAGCGGCAACCTTCAATGCGCTGCCAGCACTCGCTCCACCACCAGCGCCAACAGCCACGGAGCTTACAAGCGCACCCACGCCCTCCTTACCAGCAGCGGCCTTGCAAGAACCTGTCCCTGCAGCAACAGCCCGGCACTCGCTACGTGTCTTAGAAAGCATGACAGAGCGCTGGGGGAGTCTTGGGATAGCAGCAGACTTGAAACTGCTGCTGCTGTTGGTGATGCTGCTGCTGGTAGTTGCAATGCTGCCACCAGAGATAGTATCTGCCACCTTAGCATTCTCTGAACCTTCCTTGATCTTCTTCAGACGTCTCCGCTCCAACCTCGCCCCGATGGCCTGGCCAATAACGGATGCCGCTATAGTGAAGGCCATGGCGTATTTCGGCATGAGCGCAGCCTTCCGCAGCACGGCGACCAGCGGAACGGAAGCATGCACGGCGATAATCCACTGTGGAGAAAACTTTTCGCAATGCTCTCGCCAAACTCCCAGCGGGATGTTCAGCATCATGCCGATCGTGCCTATAGCGAGTGTTCTTATAGGGAGGGCCTGCGGCCGGAGGGCTTTCATGGCGGATGTTTTGGCGACGGCTGCGCGCATGGCGATGATGGGAGCCGGGCAGCGGTATTGGAATCCGGACGCGGGCTTAATGGCCGCTGCGATGAGAGGCACCACTCGCGAAAAAGCTCGGTAGGACTTCGCGATCGGGCAGTTACCCGACTTGAGCCATTCTTCGCCTTCGGCTTCGTGGACAGTCTCTCGTTCCTGGAAACGACGATAAGCAAGGGGATGAGCGTTCCACGATTAGAATCCAGTTTGAGATCCGTAATGCGGACGGAGAAAGATCGCAATGTTGACGACGTAGAATCGCATGAGACTAATGCTGTCACTGGCTCAACGACAAGGTTCCCAACTAGGGCTATCAGAATTAGCCAACGATCCACCGACCGGTTACCATTGTACAATCTCTCGAGCATGAACCACGCCGAAGCAGCAGCGGACACAGGGATACAACCAGAGTGTAAGTCCTAGCATCCTGAGACATCTGATAAGGGTACACACCTTCGAAGCTTCCTCCTCGCGACGCCTCTTCTCCTCCTGCTCCTTCCGTCTCTGCTGCTCCTTGCTGCTCTCCCCGCGCGATCGGAAGGAATCATAACTGAACGGTCCAGATGGGCCAAACACTGACAGGCTGATCGTCGCCGCTGACGCACCCAGACCGCCTGCGAACGCCGCAGCGTACGGACAAACGTCCTGATCCTGCTCTTCTGCTGTCTCATAACCCATCAGAGAAAAGGCCTGAGTGGTGTCCTTAGCGGTTGAAATGCTCTGTAATGACTTCTTCTCGGCGGTAATCCCGGTAGCATGGAGCGCGGGAATGACGGAAAGCGACTGGCTGATCTGGCCATCGTTGATTTCGCCTGAGTTAACGGAGGCGACGTCGGAAGTCTTCGCGAGAGGGACAACACCCGTTTCGCCGTGAAAGAGCCTGAAAGCGACCTCGAAGGAGGACGAAGTTTCCTCGAAGATGGGATTCTTTCCCGGGAGCGCGGCGGAAGCGGGACAGAGGTCCCCGAGCGAGTGGGAGAGGGGAGCTGAGTGCGGAGAGGACGATGAGAGCGACACGTTTCGGAGGAAAGGACACATCTGAGCGGCATGCTCCATGGCGAGCTTCTTCATATCCATTTTCACGTCACCCGCTAGCAAAAGCACACAATGATCGGCTGAACTGCAGCAGGTACAGAGAAACTATGGCAGCTGTGTTGAAATATGGCAACGAAAGGCGAAACAGACCAACTGACCAGGCAGCTGGAATGAAACCCTAGCTTGGGTGAAAACCAGGCTTGAGAAGAAAGCTGGTTTCAGAAGCTTCTGTTGAGGAAGGGGTTTCTTGTAGAGGGGAGGGGGGCAGGGAGGGAACGGAGGGAATGGAGTGAAGGGAATTATCTTGACGGTCGCTTGGCATATTCAGAGGGCCAACGGTCTCTCCCGCCCAAGGTCTCTTGGGGATGGGTGGGTGGGGTAACCCAACCCAACCCCCTTTGTAAATCCGGAAAAAATATAAACTTCAATCTCGGTCAGGAAGACGAATTGGTCTGAACGGTTCCGTCTGAGCAGACGACGAGTTACCTGACGCTGACACAGCTCGTGTGGGTATGCGACGTCACACGACGGTGCTGGCGTTTCGCGGCTAGCGCTTACAGCGCGAACACTACTGACGTATTGGTCAACGTCCACGCACGATGCTGGCCACGGGCAGGGTTCCACGTTTGACGGGTAAACGCTCTGAAATTCCGGAGAGTTTCCGGTTTCCCCAACGAAACCTTTCCGGGGCTGTTCCCAACGCTTCGTCGCCCATTCAATGAACGAAAGGACAATCGTACGGTTCGAGGAGCAGGGCAATCCTGCTGCATTTTTCCTGCATTTCCTGGCAATAGGGGAGGGCTAGAGAATGGAAGCACCACGGCCCTGTTCTGTTGGCGCACAGGCCATTCGCAGCTGCCGCACAGGTACTGGCCATTCGCAGCTGCCGCACAGGTACTGCGGACATCGTTCTCCTCGAAAGGAAGAGAGGGCCTGCAGCCTCGTCGAAGGCTTTGCTAATCGACAACATTACGAACTTTTTTCTCGCGTGTGCCCGAAAAATGTTGTTACACACTGCCCTGGCACTCTTCCAAAGTCAAATTTTCGCGAATCGATGCACTGGATGTGACAGTCTTACTGGTTAGCCGTTGGATTGTTTTTTCAGTATTCTACCGAAACAATACCCCAAAGCGGGCGTTTATATCTGCCCGTTATTTGTTGTGCGCCTCTTCAATCCCCCCTCGACGAGCGCATAGGGCTCGCATAGGCCATGGGGGAAATTTGCCTGAGAAACCAAGGTCGTGGAATTTTCTCAGCGCACAGAGAGTCCAGCGTTCTTGCGCACGCATGAGTAGTGCGCGCACAACTCCCGCACCAGAGGTTCGAGAGACAATAGCGATTTGGGAGGCTCGACAGGGTTTTAATCCTTGTTATGCGCATTCCGAGAATGCTCAGCGTTAGGGCTGAGCACCCCTTATGCGCCAACAGAACAGGGCCTATGCGGTGTTGTCGTCATTTCCAGCGAGGCAAAATGCGAATCGAGAATGTGGAAGGTGGACCTGCTAGGTGCGTGTGTCAGACAAGTGCGCGGCTGCGGTGGTGTGGTGGTGTCTCAGAAGAGGTGAGATGACTCGTCTAGCCAGTGTCGGTGCCACGCGAGTGCAGCGTGCGAATTGGTTTGGGATGGGATGGTAGTGGAAAATACAAGACGTTCCGTGGATAAACTCGAGCACATTCTTTCGTTACAATGATGCCGATTTTTCTCTCATGTACAATAAATTCTATACCACAGAGATGCTACAATCTAGACTTTCAATGCATATTAGACACCAATGATTTTAGCTGACACACCTATTGTATGCACATTATTTTCGGGGTGTGCCGTCATGACAATAAATCACATCTGTTTCAAAAATGTTAGATCATATCACACCAACCAATGTTAGTAACAAATGTAGCATACGCTTTTTGACCCTCATATAACGTCCATATGGTACAATGTGAACATCATACCCCACACCAGCCATTATTACTTATGCAGCCTGGCAGGCTGGCGGGTTACTAACTCTTACCCTCTGGGATCAGGGTGGCAGCAGCAGCCCAGGGTACCTTCAAGAGGTCCCAAAAGCAAATTGGTAACCCAGTAGATCGCAGCTTCTCATCTCATCCCCTTTTGAAGCAGGGCCGCCGCCGCAGACCATAGCATTTTAGGCAGTTCCACCATTTCCATACTCAAATCAATGTGCGCATCCGCCTCTAAGAAATCAAACTCGCACGGAATCTCTTGCCCTCTACCCACTCCTTGATTGTCGCCTTTCTCGGACCCGTATGCCTGCAGCATGGCAAACGCCAGGTCGATCTGCATTTTAAAAGGCTTGGTAGCTCGGGGATCGTTGGCCGATGGCGTGCCGACAAGTGGCAGCGAGATCCCGTAGTCGAGTGACCCGAGCGTGCCGCCTAGGCACGACGAGCTCACTGCGATTGGCCGGTCCTTGAGCCCTCCAACAGTCACCATGGGGACGTTGAATTTCCGTTTTAAAATGTGAGTTAGAACCGCGCAGGCAGAGAAGCAGGTTCCGTCGGAAACGACCACCATGGGCAGCCCGCTGAAATCATCCGATTGGTCGTACAGCGTCAGCATCTCCATCAGCTTCACCCGGGCAGAATAATTTCCCGGTTGCCCGTCTGTCGAATACTGTAGTTCCTGAAACGGACCGAAATCAGCCGGTCCTTTCAACCCCGCGGTCTCCGCCTCGTTGCAGTAATTCGACGCGTTGTAAAAGAAAGTGGCGCTGCTTTTAATGAGTCGCGCAGTGTACTCGTTCCCAATCATCAGCTGCTGCGGCATCTGCAGCTGCCCGGGTGGGGTCTTAGCAGGCCCTGCCAATGCCCTCACCACACCATAGGCGGTCTGGATAATGCCTCCGCTGTTCCCCCGCACGTCCAGCACAATACGCTTGCCACGCCTGCAAGGGGGATAGCAAGAGTCGGAGTGACAGTGGGTAATTAGAGTGATGGGACTTGAAAGCCTGGATGATGCCTCCGCTGTTCCCCCGGATATCCAGCACAATGCGCTTGCCACGCCTGTAGAGAGGGGAAGAACAAGGGCCGCGGTGACAGGGGGGGTGTTAGCAGGCCCTGCCAACGCCCTCACCACTCCATAGGCGGTCTGGATAATGCCTCCACTGTTTCCCCGCACGTCCAGCACAATGCGCTTGCCACGCCTGTGAGGGATTCAAACAGGGGGCAGAGTTACATGGGTTGAGTGTAATGGCGGTTGTAAACAGCGGCATTAGAAGCGCCAGATCTCAGGCGCTGAGGCACTGCAGTCCCCTTAGTGCTGGAGTGAGCCCAGTGGTGGAGATATCAATCCCCTTGGTGCTGAAGGTGTGCAGCCACACGACTGCTGTCTCATCCGGCAGCAGCAGCACGGGGATCAGAGGGGAGAGGGAAGAGGGAGATGAGGGGGACGAGGTCCCAGGCTCACCTTGTCGCAAGGCTGAGAGCGCGCATTGACTCCGCATAGAGATTTTGTGACGGAGTAAGCCCCGTAGAAGAGACATCCAATCCAGCCACACGACCGCTGTCTCGTCCGGCATACCTTGTCAAAGACATACCTTGTGGCAAGGCTGAGGGCGCGCATGGACTCGGCGTAGAGGTACTGCGAGGGGGTGAGCCCCGTGGCGGATATATCCAAGCCTTTAGTACTAAAGGTGTGCAGCCACACGACGGCTGTTTCATCCGGCAGCAGCAGCACGGGGAACAGATCGCCGTCTGCTGACAGCCGCACCGTCTGCTGCGGGGCGGCTGGGGCGGCAACAGTCGCACCAGCCTCAGGTGCACCTCCCCCAGCAGCAGCGTCACCCACAGTTGAGCCCCCATCACCAGCAGCAGGCGCAGTAGGGTTGAGTCCCTCCTTTCTTCCTACCCCATCCTTCCTTCCTCCCTCCTCCTCCACCACCCCCACCTCCCGCACTCTCAGGGGCGGCGGGTCCAGATCCCGCCTTGGCGCCAGCATACCCACTACAGTCGCATCCGCTATAGGAACTTTCCTCCTTCCAGGCCCCACCTTGGCTGCCACCGCCGTCCCCATTACAGTCGCATCCGCTAAAGGCAATCGCTTCTTCGGCCCTCCTGACCCTACTGCAACGGAAAACCCTCGGAGGCCACCCGCCTTGTTGATACCCAGCTCTCCCTTTTCCTTCGCCAGCTTGTCACCCCCGTTACTAACAACCCCGTTATTATCACCACTTGCGTTCCCACTAACAATACTAATATCATCGACATCATCAGTGCCACCACCACCACCGCCACCACCGTCAGCAGCGGCGGAACCTTCCGTGGTGCTTCCCCCCACATCCTCCCCCTCCCCCGCTTTCCGGCAAAAGGCAAGCCAGTAGCTGCGGCTGTCGCTGAACGCGCCTTTGGGGAAATCCGCGATCCACGGAACCACCACCCTCTCGGGAGCGGAAGCAGGGCTGAAGCAAGCGGAAGGAAGGGGAGAGTTCGGGGGAAAGGGGGAGGTGGGGACTTTAAAACGACGGTGTACATTTGACAAACCAAGGTTCAGAAGCTGTATTTTTTTTAATCCGCAAGTTCTTTCTTTCCCATTGCTCCCTGCACTCACGCGGTCATCATCCCCGTTACTGTGCGGTGTGTCCTAGCGCTACCCTCACAAGATTCGCTACAAGGATGAATCCCGAATCTACACCTTCCAAAAGGGGTAAGTCCAAATCACTCACTTCACGTGGATCAGCATCGTGAGCGCGTCTTTCCGTGGCGGAATGGAGCGCACCGTGAACGCGCCTTGACTCCCGTCAATCTCCCCCAGCCCCTTCACCGTGCGGTGCGCCAGCGCCGCGTTCAAGCGCGCGCCCGCGCTGCGGAACGTCCCCACGTACTTGTCCGCCCACCGTGCGATAAACGGGAGCGCCGGCTCGCCCTCTATAGTCACAACGCGCTTGCCCTCGTAGCGGGAGAAGTTGAATCCGAACAGCCCGCGCGCGATAAGGTCCGGGCGTCCGCGGAGCACTGAGGGGAATGAGGCGCGGGGAAAGCGCAGGGGGAAAGCGGGGCAGAGAGATGAGGGCAAAGCGTAGGGAGGGCGGGATTCAGGCAGGGCGAATCACAGAAGACGAATGAAAGCTTTTGACACAAAGTCTATGCCGGATTCCGACGGAAAACCATACCGAACCACGAAGAAACCGAACCACAATGAACCAAACCGAACAGAACCTAATTTCTTACATTCCGTGCTTCCGACTCGAATGATCTGCTCTCCGTCTTCAACCACGGAGACGAGCGGCAGCGGGAGAGTGTAGAGCCCGACGCCATAGAAGCAATTGCTTGCCATAATTTTACCGAGTTGCACCAAACCCAACCGCACCAAACCGATTTACTTACATTCCTGGCTGCCGACTCGGATGATCTGCTCTCCGTCTTCAACCACGGAGACGAGCGGCAGCGGGAGAGTGTAGAGCCCGACTCCATAGAAGCAATTGCTCGTCATGGATGTATGGCCATCGTTCAACGAGTCGATCGCGCGGAAGATAAGCGAGTGGAACCGCAGAAGACTGTTAATCCCCTCGCCTTGCTCCGCCGTTTCGCGAATCGATTTTAGATACGTTATGATATCGACGTCGCTCGGAAGCTTCGGATCGGGTGATTTTACCGCGAGGTGCTTGTACACGTAATGGTTGTCGAGCGCGTTAATGATTGTGTCTAAAGCGGGGATGTCACGGTCTGCCCGGAAGCGGAAGTTACGTAGGCAGTTTTTCGCTTCCGTAGGGGTGGCGAAACCGACGGACCCATCGACGATGATGTTTTTTTTCGCCAACGCTGCCACGCTCGCCTCTAGTTTATTCGCGAGTGTCGTGCAGGGATCAATTCCGTCGTTTGGATCGCTTGCGGGAGAGGCAAAAGGGATTGCAACGAGGAGAAGGAAGAACAAGACTAGAGGCTGGGCTGAGAGTCGACATGAGCCACCCTTGGATTCTTGTATTGTTCTGGTTACACCATGGATCGATGCGGGCGGTCTTTGGCTCGCCATGGACCTTGATGCGACCATTGTTCGTCGTGCAAGTCAACAAATGCCTAGTTTACTACTCCACTGGGGCTCGTAAGGTAGAGAGATGTGATGCTTGCTTGAATAAAATGGTAAGCAGATTCGCGCAAAGAGCGCTAAGTGCGGAGCTTTTTGAGAGATGGATGGAGTTTCGAGGTATTACTAGCTCACGCTGCTTTTGCTCACAATGTCATGGTGGAGTGATATGTAGCAGATGCGAATTCACCAAATTCGCAAGTGCGAAGGGCAAGGTGATGCACGGCCGGCGGGGCGAAATTGATGCATGGTGCATCAACAGAGCTGCCGCATATCCCAACACGAGGGGCAATTGATAGCACAGATGTTCAGAGAGAGACGGGCGGGCGGGAGAAATGAGTGGTCAGGTTTGGACTGGACTTGATTGGGCTGGGCGCAGTGGGGGGGAAGCAGTGGTGCTGGAGGAGATGGGCCAGAAAGAGCCAGAACCGACCAGGTAGCGATGCACATCGTGGAGTCGCGAATTCTGCTTTCGCAGCGCGAATGCACATTGAGAATGCCAGAGCACATCTGCCGAAGTGCGACTTGACAGACTGCTATTTGCGAGTTTTGAAGCGAAACCAGGAAGAGTTACCACTGCTCTGACCACCCCTGCCTTCGCTAATGCGTCCAGCGGGATGCCTGCGATGGCAGAATTCGTGCTGCAAGATCATGCGAGAAGATGCGACCCGTAATCCGTGTTTGTCGGATAGAACCTGCAAACATTCCCCAATTCCATCTTGATTGGTGCACTCGTGCCGCATTCTGTCTTGAGGTTACCAGGGGATGGCAGTTGAGGGAGAATCTGTACCGTGAGTGAAAGTGCACGCCAGGTTGAACCGATCGAGGCCGTCCATGAGGAACCGTCAGTATTCTCATGTGGAGGACTGTGTTTCACCCGCTACTGTAATGAGTTCCTAGAAATGTATATGATATTCTACACAATACACTAACAATTAAGGAAACATTGATAATCAAGCCACACTATCTTAGACAACCATGATATTCCTTCGTCCTTCTTTTGTTAATTACAAAGCTTCAATACTTCTGAATGGACCTTACACACATGAACCAAGTGCTATTGCCAGCCCAGACCCTCCACAGTGGTGTGCGACCAGATCATCCCCTCTAAGCACGCTTCCCTGTGCGCGACGAGGCCTGGGGCACAAGCACCTTACGGCCACGGGCGCGGCGGCGCTTCAGCACATTGAGCCCATCCTTGGTGGCAATGCGCGCACGGTAACCAGACACTCTGGCGCGCTTTTTGCGGGAGGCGTGGCGCTTGGTGCAGCCAATGCTGGTGCCTCCTGCTCGCACCACCAGCCGAGAGCCCCTTGACACAGGGAACACCATGCGCCCAGAGCTCTCAGGGGAGAGGCGCAGACCTGCAGTTGTGGGGAATTGGGGAGGAGGCATGGGGAAGGGGGAGAGGGGGGGGGGGGGCGGCAGGCGGTGAGAAGCGGTAACAAGTGAGGAACGGCGAGAAGGGGAATGTCGCGGATGAAAACGATCTTCCAAATGCTTGGTACAGCCAATGTTGGTGCCTCCTGCCCGCACCACAGGCCTCCTGCCCGCACCACAGGCCTCTTGCCCGCACCACAGGCCTCCTGCCAGACGGGGAACACCATGCGCCCAGAGCTCTCTGGGGAGAGGCGGAGTCATGTCGGCCAGGGTGGAGGGGGAGGGAGTTGAGGAGAGGGGGAAACGGTAAGAAGAAGGATAATGAGTGATGAAGGATGGAAGAGGGAGTTGAAGGGGAAGGGATGCTGTTTGTGTGGGACGAGGCGCTTGGTGGTCAATGACGGTGCCTCCTGCACAATCCAGCCCGCAGAGAGCAATAGGCGCTTGGAAATGTGCGTAGAGTCGAAGGGCTGAAGTGGGGGGAAAGTGAGGGTGGATATGGGGAGCTGTGCGGGGAAGCGCGTGGGGAAAGGTGTGGGGAGATGTAAGGGAGAATGTGAGAGGAAGAAGTGGGGTTTAAAAGGAAGGGAAGGGAGCTGTGCCTGCTGCCAATACTTCCTATGAAATTAGAGTCCGAAAGCGACGGGGGAACCGCAAAGTGGGGGTACAAGGGGTGTGTGTGTGGGAATGAGAGGGAAGGGGGTGAAGGGAAGTGTGGAATGAATAACGAGTAAGAGGGAAAGGAGATAGCGGACGGGGAGAGAGAGAGTGAGGGGGGAGAAGGGGGAGTGGGTGATGGGGCGGAAGAGGGGGAAGGGGGAGGGGAGATCATAAAACGGCACATTCTCCTAACAAGCAATGCTACATTGATCAGAGCGGAGCCAAGACAGGCTGATTACGTTAAGAATGCCTCCTATAAAGACCATAAAACCACGAACCCTGAAGGCTTCGCGAGTGCAACTTCGCATACTAGTAACCCGCACATGCAATAATAGGTGCTCGGCGCGCTTCATCTCGTATCTCGACTTCGATTCCAATGCGTGTGATTATTAACCTCATGCGTGACCTTGAAAACACCCGTCTCCCAAAGACTTAAACGAGAAGTCACGATTAATCGAGAGCAGGTCGTGTCTCGCCAAACTCTAACCATGAGCGGTATTAACCCTAACCACGCGAGGACTGAGGATTTTGAGCCCAGGAGCAGGGTCAAAGTCCTGCATAACTCGCTTTGCAGTGCTTAGAAACAAATATTACGTGCAGATGACGGGGTTTACGTGCGAGCAATCGCACGCGGAAGATGCGTCGGGGTGAGTGGCTAGGGGAGGACGCGGAGGTGGAGGAACGTGAAAGCCGCTTTCGATAATATCCGCGAAGAGGGGGACCGAGGAGACGACTAGCTAGTGGTCGATGTACCTGCGAGCGAGCACGAGAGGGAGGAGATGGCGGGGCGAGCAGAGACGAGGTCTGATCGCAGCGCGCTGGGAGCGGCCGTCCGAACAGCTGCGAACGAAACGCGGCCGGCGGGACGAGCGGCTTGTAGCGACGCCCGCGCGACGGCGGCGGGCGCGCACGTGACGGCGCGGGAAGAGGCGAGCGCAAACATTGTGGCGGGCACTGATGTTAGGTGGAAGGATATGGCTACTACTGAAATAGTTGCTGAGGAACCGCTGATGAGGAGGAACTAGGAGGATGAGCCGTGGATCAGGGAAGAATTGCAGCAGCAACCCTCAGAGGTGGTTTAGTAAGGCTTTGCTCGGTTCGAATCGGTTGATTTGCGTTCTCGTTAAGTGCTGCAGGGAAAATTGGATGAGGGCGCGGGGAGGGGAGCAAGGAGAAGCGGGGAAAGAGGGGAAAGTCCTGCGCCAGCGTGGCGGTAATTTGAGGTTTCGTGGGATGGCCAGGCTGAGCCACGTGGAGGCAGCCCTGGGAACATCTGCCTGATGGATCTCGCCAAAGAGTTACAGTGGCAAGAATTGTTACCCTAGCTGTTTGACAGGAATCGCTTTGTTACTGGAACGCTCGACTTCGCACAGCTCGTTTAAATTTGACCGAAGAGGTTACAATGAGGTAACCAGTTCGCAATCACAAAACACCAGCACAACCACAAACCTCCCTCTAAACCCTGTGGTTGAGGATTCTTACAACTTGGAATCAGCTTGTTTACACCAGCATTCCGTGGTCTTATTCGGTTCACCTGCACTTCTGCCGTTCCGCACCGTCTTCTTCCCGTCCTCCGCTTCGACTTACAGCCCCTCGTTCGCGGTGTATCCGTCGATTCTGTGAGTGATTTCGGCCTCGGCCTCCGGTAGCGTAATTCGCGGCGATGAAGGGGAAGAAGCGGGGTCGCGTGGCGGCGCAGCAGCAGCAGCGCCTGCACCTGAAGGCGAAGGGCATGAAGGTCTCCACGAAGCACGGCGGCGGCGGTGGCGGCGGCGGCGGCGGCGCGGCGCACGCGACGACGCTAGAGCAGGAGATGGACGACGAGTTCCTTCTCGAGCAAGCCGCCAAGCGGCGGCGCGCGCCGAAGCAGCGGCGGCGGCAGGGAGAAGGGGAGGGGGACGAGGAGGGGGTGATCGGCGCGGGGATGAGCGCGCGGATTCTTAAGGAGGCGCGCAAGCAGCAGCAAGAGGTCGCGCGGGAGATGTGAGTGTTCCCGTGATCACCATTTTGTGATTACCAGAATCTTGAACAAAATGGTAGAACCTTCCTAGTCCCCCTCACCCTCCCGCGCAACTAACGGAATCCCGTGCAACTCCATTCTCAATACTTAACCTTTACCCCGAACCCTGCATCTTCCAACCCTAACCCTGCTTCGAAAAATCCCGAATTTCAGACCCTGGAAGCCCTAGTTGGTTTTACACCTGGACTTACACCTGAAACCCTGCATTACGTTACATTTCGTTACTCGCACGAAATTCAATCATATCCATTGCATGTCCTGTCGCGATACCCTCAACGAGCACCTCTGCATCGCACGTTTTGTCGCGACCTGCAGGGAGAAGGAGCGCGGCCTGGACGGGGCGCGCGAGGCGTTCGATCTCGCCGCGGCCGTGGCGGCGCGGGAGCGCGAGCAGGAGGAGCGGGAGGAGGAAGCGGGGGAAGAGGGGGAGGAGCTGGAAGTGCGGGATCCAGATGCGGCGGCAGCGGCGGCTGCGGACGTGGAGAAAATCCTAAGTGACGCGAGACGAGGGCGGGAGGATATAGAGGACGGGGAGGAGAGGGAGGAGGGAGAAGCGGAGGATGACGAAGATGATGAGGATGGGGAGGATGGCGCGTTTTCAGAAACGGCGAGCATGTATAACGATGCTGTGGTGAGTCGGCGGTAAAGGTAAAGGAGAAGGGAGAGTCAGAGGAGGATGAGGATGAGGATGAAGGTGATGAGGACGGGGAGTATAACGATGCTGTGGTGAGTTGTTGGGTTGAAACAGCGAGTGTAAAAGACATCTTCCCCCGCTATTCCCTCCCCACCCTCTCTTTCCCCTCCCCCTTTTCCCCCAGCCTCCCATTCCGCGCGCTGCCTTGAACAATCGTGCTGCCTTGTTGCCCCGTGGCACCTGAACTTGCCACGTGTTCTTGCTCCGTGGCAGGCGGACGAGGTGACGGAGGAGGACGAGCGGGCCATCGCGGTCTTCCTCGCAGGGGGAGGCGCGGCGCCACGTCAGCGCACGCTGGCTGACGTCATCATGGCGAAGATCCAGGAGGCGACAGCTGGCGGGGCGGCGGGGGCAGCTGGGGGCGCGGGCGGCGGGGGGGGTGTGAGAGGGGGGGAAGGGGGTGAAGAGGCGGAGAGGCGGATTCCAGGAGTGGATGAGAAAGTGATGGAGGTCTATCGAGGGTGAGTCTGGCTTACAGGGTGTCTTTGAGAAAGTGATGGAGGTGTACTGAGGGTGAGTGTAGTGAGTCTTGACTGCAGGAAAGAGAGTACATTATGAGAATATGAAAAATCACCTGGAAGTGAATGAGAAAGTAATGGGAGGTGTACCGAGGGTGAGTCTGGCTTACAGGGTGTCTTCGAGAAAGTGATGAAGATGTACCGAGGATGAGTCATGCCTGAAGCTTTGCCATCCCTTTCCCCCCCTCCCTTCCCATCCCACACCTTCCCTTCCCCTCGCCTCCCCTCCCCTCCCCTCCCCTTCCCGCCCCTCCTCTTTCCTCTCGTCTGCCCTCCTCTTCCCTTTCCTGGATGTGAATGTACTTGAGGCTTATCAAGGATGATAGTCCTTTCCCTCATTGCCCACCCCTCTACATTTTCCTCCCTCAGTCCTCCTTTTCTCCTTTCTACTTCCCCCGTCTCTCCTCTACCCGTGCCTTCCTGCCGTCAACCCCGCAGGGTGGGGAAGCTTCTGAGTCGGTACCGGTCTGGCAAGGTCCCAAAGGCTTTCAAGATCGTGCCAGCACTTAGCAACTGGGAGGATGTGCTCTTTCTTACAGACCCTGACAGCTGGACGCCTGCTGCTGTCTTTGCCGCCACTCGTCTTTTTGCGTCGAATCTCAACGCTCGTGCCGCCCAGAGGTTTTACCGGCTGGTGCTGTTGCCGAGAGTGCGTCGGGACATTAGGCTTAATAAGAAGCTGCACTTTGCACTGTATCAGTCGCTCAAAAAGGCGGTTTATAAGCCTGCCGCATTCTATAAAGGGGTGTTGCTGCCGCTGTGCCAGTCCCAGACTTGCACGCTACGGGAGGCGGTGATTATAGGGAGCGTCATTCAGAAAGTCTCGATTCCCGTGCTGCACTCCAGGTGAGCTTTATCGATTTTACCTTCTTCGTTCCTTTCTTCCTATTCGCATGCCGTCATTTGCACAAATCATGACGCGCAAGTATGTGGCTTGACTGAATCAACCTACCTTTCTTGTCGTCACATCTTGCAGTGTTGCCCTGATGAAGATTGCAGAGATGCAATATGCTGGCACAAACAGGTGAGCACTGAGTGTTATAAGCCATGAGCAGTGGAATCAACCTAAACTGTGATCATTGCATTGGCTGGTGAACATTGTTGGAGTGAAACCTTGCATTCAGCACTACAAGCCAATAAGCTACAATCATGACATGTCTCATACATTCTCCCCTGCTTGAACAGCTACTTCATGAAGCTTCTGCTGGACAAGAAGTATGCCCTGCCATATCGAGTCATTGATGCGGTGGTTGGACACTTTTTGCGCTTTCGCTCTGAGACCCGCGAGCTGCCAGTAATCTGGCACCAATGCTTGCTCTCCCTTGTCCAAAGGTATTTTTCATGCTAAGGATTCAACGTTTTTCTTGTTTGTGTTTGCGTCTGTTTGCGCAAAGTTCGTTGATTTTCTGTTACCACATGTTTCCTGCTTATTTGTGTTGCCTAACAGGTACAAGAATGAGTTGACCCAAGAGCAAAAGGCTGATATCAAGTCTCTCATCACCAGCCGTCAGCACCATCACTTGGTACAGATTCATGCAAGCCATTGTGACAGTGTTGCTGCTGCATCACTTTTCACTCAAAGCAGGGGAAGGAAAGTTTATGTTTTACCCTCTGTCTGCTTCCTGTTGTATGCAGATGTCACCAGAGGTGATTAGAGAACTCCAAAGTTCTACCCGGTCCCGAGGGCAGCCTGATGCTGCATTGTTCACGTTCTCATCCGATGCCACAATGAGTAAGTTCACGTGTGCATCACTTGTTTTTTTCTAGTCCCCATAATTGCACTGCACTAGTGACGGGTGTTCGTGTTCTCTGTTTCAATTGATGCAGGACCATTGGTTGTCACAAAGCCCTTGGAAGATGACTACCGTAATCTTCCTGAAGTCCACATTGGGATGGATGAAGACTAATGAGGGGCACTGCTGCTAATGAGAAAAGCAGACAAGGGACTTGATGGTCATCATCGCCTCTGCCATTCCAAATGGTTCAAGCCTCAAGGCAATTGTTTGTGTGCAAGAAAGAGATGTTATTTGCATTGTAGCCCCCATGTTGTCTGTTACTATATAGTGTAAACATTCAGCTGTTACCACAGGTTATTCAAGAATGGCTTGCAGAATAAGTCTTGTGAAGCCGTGAATCTCGTCCTGGTCCTGATTGTTCATTGCACAAACTGCAAGGGGCGTTAAAGGTTAACCAGAGGTTCCCACAGCCAGCCAACTGTAACATCTTCTGACTTACCCCATTGGAGCACCGGGAACAATGCTTGCTTTTTGGGTACGGAAATAAGGTAGGCAACAACCTGAAGGTTTCATAAGTGAAGCATGTTTTCTCAAAGCCATCACACTCTCCATGACATCAGACTGGTCGCTGCACTCACAATGATGGAGGCAGGCAGTGCTGCTCGAGACAGATGTTGGCGTAATTTGGAATCAGAGTGCATCAAGGTGTAAATAGTGAAGCACGTACTTAGTTTGATGAAGTCACCAACACGAGAAACTCGCCTGAAACAGAAATCGATGCACAGTTGAAATCAGCAGTAAGCGAACATAGAGCGGAAAACTGGCAACTAACCTGAGCTCTCTCAGCAGGTCCTCCAGGGCTGAAGGACATGACCTTCCTGTCTCAATCTCAAAGTTTATCGTCTGCTCAATGCAGCGGTATGTCTTGTCAGGGAGCTCATTCTGCCAGAAGCATTATGGCAGATATGGAAGATTCTTACCCCCAGAAGCTCAATCTCCTGAAATCAGTAATAGGGCGATAAGGAACACTGTTTAGTACCAGGTGAGAGCATACATTTGTCGCAACTTACAGCATTCACGAAGTCCTTAGCAGTGTAAACTTTGTCGCTGATGATTCGGGATGAACAAGCCTTCAGCTCCGTCAAGGAGATTTGCTGAGTTTCAAACATCTGCACTACTGGCGCGTAAGACTCGTATGGGGACGGATGTCGGAATTACCAGCATAATAGGCGCCTTACCTTGCTTCCAACCCACAGTAGGACCAATGTCAGAAACAAGCAGTCTGACCGGTCGGGCTGGAGGACAGTTGACGCATTTAAGATCCTGGTCGTCGGAAACAATATTACATCAGTTATAGACCTTCTTAATTCGCCATGTGTTATCACCTTTCAGGACTGTCTGCGCATTCAGCCTCAATTGTATCCAAACGTCTCGCGAGCTTGATGAACAAAGAGGCAGCACACCACCTTGTACATTGCGATATCGGGTTTCCACTTCTCGTTTTTATCTGAGGATTCAAAGTCAGGCTTCATGAAAGCCCAAACTAGGAACACGAGGCATAACTCAAGATATTACCTGCATTTGGAATATAAGGGCCAGGCATTCGTTGGCCACCGCCTCTGGCACGCGAGCAGAAGCCATGACTGCTTGTGCTTGATGGCAAGTAAATCACAAGCGATGTTAGCCACAGAAGTGTGAGGGAGAGACTTGTTCTGCAAAATGAGATCCAAATATTTTGGCCTGTCACCAAAAGTGCATTTGCGAAAGGGCCACGTCTTTCCGGTAATATGATTGGTTCAGAACCTTCTCTTTCGCTGGCTTCTGCTGTCCACCGCAGGGATTTTCAACTCGTCGAATCAACGTGGCGTTCGCGAAACCTCTTCGCTTCCTCGGGATCTCCCTCTTTCCAACATTTTTCACACCGATCACTGAATTTTCAACTTTGCCAAATCACGTTCTCCTCCCACATTCTCAGCATTCCTAGACACAGGTTTCTCATCCCCCCAGCTACAACTCTCAGGTTGTCAAGTCTTTCCTGATCGGAACGCCGGATAGCAATTCAGATTCGCGTATTCGACCAGAGTCAGCTGGTACCGTGAAGCCAGAACGCCGACCATGGGTCCGCGTCGGATTAGTTCCGAGAAATTAAGATGGCGAATGGTATTGGGGGTAACTCTCACAATTCTAGCGCTGGTTCCGTTCGTGAGCGGAGCGGTGTTCACGGTTGACCTGGGTTCGGAATCCATGAAGGTCGCTGTGGTCAATCCGCGGCCCGGTCAGAGTCCGATCTCGATCGCGATCAACGAAATGTCGAAGCGGAAATCTCCGTCTGTCGTGGCGATATCCAACGGCGATAGGCTCCTGTCAGAGGAAGCCGTTGGAATCGCTGCGAGGTACCCCGATCGCGTGTACACACGAGCAAGGGACATGGTCGGCGTTCCAGTAGATGAGGTTAAGGAACTACTAAAAAGCAGCTATCTTCCGTACGATGTCGTCGGAGGGGATGGGAGGCCGGAAGAAGAAACGGAAGACGACTCAATGGAGTCGGAAGTCATCAGCGAGGTGACGTCAGATACAGACGGCGACTCGGCTTCGGAGCGGTCGTCAGGCAAGGACAAGGCGAAGAAATTGAAGCGGAAGCGTCCCGTGCGGATTCGAACCCATGACCGCTCGACGGAGTACTCCGCTGAAGAGCTGCTCGCGATGCAGCTGGGTTACGCCAAGGGACTAGCGGATGCTCACGGAAGAACGGGGATTGTGGACGCTGTCATTAGCGTTCCCGCGTACTTCTCCCAGAGCCAGAGGCAGTCGATTATTGACGCTGGCGCTCTGGTTGGCGTGAATGTGATGGCGTTGATTCAGGAGCATGCGGGAGTTGCGCTGCAGTACGGCATGGATAAGGATTTCAGCAATGGCAGTCGACATGTGGTTATCTTCGACATGGGTGCCACGTCGACCTATGCGGCCGTGATTTATTACTCGGCGTACGCGACGAAGGAGCGCGGGAAGAGCATCACTGTGAACCAGTTTCAGGTCAGTCGAGCGCACCAATATCCTGTCTTTCTGATTCGCTAGCAGAATTTCCTGCTCATCTGTCTTCGTTGGCCTACTCATCACTTTCCTCATCGCTGAACTCAGTTATTTTGTGTCCTTGTGTCCTTGTCGCCAACAAGTGAGATGGCTCAGACACGGGCTTATGTTCAAATTCAGAGAAAAAAACTATACCCGTTGCACGCGTCAAATGCGACCTGCGCAGGTGAAATCCGTGAGATGGAACGCGGATCTGGGGGGGCAGACGCTGGAGGCGCGCATGCTGGAGCACTTCGCGGACGAGTTCAACGCGAAGCACAGCGGTGTGGAAATCCGCACGTCGCCCAAGGCCATGGCGAAGCTGAAGAAGCAGGTGAAGCGCACCAAGGAGATCCTCAGCGCCAACTCCGAGGCCCCCATCTCTGTGGAGTCGCTCTACGATGATCATGACTTCAGGTATGAGGCTAAGGCTTGACAGAGGCTGAGATGTCGGATACTATCAGGGTTTTGAGGTTGTAAAAAAGTTGTGCTGAGAAGGATGAGCATTTTCAAAAATTTGAGTCTGAACACAGGTGAAAGCACATGCGTTGGAAGAGTTGCATCCAATTGGTCCTCTCCACATCAAGATTTTGCTGTATTGTGTGTTGCTTGCGTTGTATGCATGGCACATTGCAGATCATCCATCACTCGGGAGAAGTTTGAAGAGCTGTGTGCGGATGTGTGGCCTCAAGTGGTGGCACCGCTGCAAGGGGCGATAGCTGACGCCAACATCACCATGGACGACATCTATGCCGTGGAGCTCGTGGGGGGAGCGACTCGTGTTCCTAAAGTGCAGGTGAGTAGTGGGCTGGAGAGAGACATAGGTGAATCGCTGCAAGGGGCGATAGCAGGCGCCAACACCACTGTGGACGACATCTATGCCGTGGAGCTCGTGGGGGGAGCCACCCGTGTGCCCAAAGCTCCGGTAACCATCGTGGTTGAGCCAAGCACCACACGCAGCGTGGCACGCATGACCAATACGACTAGAATGAACTTGTAAACCTCACAGTACAACTCTATCCCCATTTCCTCCATGCCCCATCTGTGCCCCCTCTTCCTTGTCCTCACCTCTCACTGGGTAACCTTCTCCTCCCCACATATCCTGGGTCTGATTCGATTTGGCCTGATCGTATTGGATGCAGTCTGTGCTGACGGAGGCACTGGGTGGCAACCGCTCGCTGGATCGCCACCTGGATGCTGACGAGGCGCTCGCTCTAGGCGCGTCCTTGCTGGCAGCGAACCTGAGTGACGGATTCAAGCTCAACCGTCGGATCGGCATGATCGACGGGCTGCCGTTTGCTGTCAAGTACCGGGTGGAGCCTTTGCCTGTGGATGCGGGTGCTGGGGGTGATGGTGGGGCTGGCGAGGCAGTGGATGGATCAGAAGGGTCTGTGGTGGAGGAGATGCTGTTTCCACGATTGAAGAAGATGCCCATTAAGGTACGCTGTAATACATACTTCCATTTCTTAATTTCTTGAAATGTTGTAGGGATTACATTTGAAGGGTTGCATGATTGGGTGTGTGTAGCTATGAATTGCAGTAGGTTCACCTATAACGGATAATTTAATGGGTTTACCTGCTGTACCCTCACCCCTTCCATTGCTCTGCAGATCATCCGGTCGCTGAAGGAGCAAACGAGTGACTTCACCCTCTCGTTCCTGTACGATGATTCACAGGGCCTGCCCCCCCGGTGGCCCAAGGGTGCTCCCATTTCCACTCTGCACGTGTCTGGCGTGGCCAAGGGCATTGCCAAGTGAGTGTTGTGGTGGGATTGGGACGGGTTTGGGTTGTTGTCCTTTACCACAAGACACAGGGCCTGCGCCACTGCCATTCAAAGAATGCGGCCTGCCATCCCATCAGGGCGAGTCAGCAATTCCACCTCACTCGCAGTGGCACAGAGGGGCTGGAGAAAGGAGAGCTTGTCGTTGGCTTTTCTGAATGGATTGAGGTGCCGGTCATCCCGCCCCCGCTCCCTCCCAACCCCCCTCACCCTCCAGGTACTCGGGGTACAACCTGACTCATCCCAACAGGGCGAGTCTGCACGTCCATCTCACGCAGCGGCACAGTGGGGTTCGAGAAGGCAGAGCTGGTCGTTGAATTTTCTGAATGAATCCATTCACGTGCGCTCTGCACACCATCCCCTCCTCACCCTCCAGGTACTCGAGGTACAACCTGACGCACCCCATCAGGGCGAGCCTGCACTTCCACCTGACCGCAGCGGCACAGTGGGGCTGGAGAAGGCAGAGCTGGTCGTTGACTTGTCTGAATGGATTGAGGTGCCCGTCATCCCAACCCCACTACCCGCCTCCCCTGTCACCCCCCTCACCCTCTCCCCCCTTTAGGTACTCGGGGTACAACCTGACGCACCCCATCAGGGCGAGCCTGCACTTCCACCTGACCCGCAGCGGCACAGTGGGGCTTGAGAAGGCAGAGCTGGTCGTTGACTTCTCTGAATGGATTGAAGTGCCGGTTATCCCGCCCCCGTCCGCTGCCAACGCCACTGCTAACGCCACTGCCAATGCAACTGCGAATGCCACTGCTGCCAACGCTACTGGTGACGGTGCTGCGGGTGGTGCTGGTGATGATGGGTCAGAGGCAGCTGCAGCGGAGAAAGATGTTTCAGCAGGAGAGGGCAGCAGTGACGTTGGGAGCGAAGGCGCAGGAGAGAAGGGAGAGGGCGAGAAGGGTGGAGAGGAGGCGGGGAAAGACGGGGAGAAGAAGGGGGAGAAGGAAGGAGAGAAGGAGGCAGAGGCGCCTAAAGTGCAGATGAGGAAGAAGCTAAGGAAGAGGACGATCAGGGTGCCTCTGCAGGTGTCTGATACGACTGAAGGGTTCCAGCGCATGATGACGGACGAGGAGATGACAGATGCCGAGATCCGATTGGACAAGCTGAAGAAGAGGGACGAGGAGAAGCGAGCCGTTGCTGAGGCGAAGAACACCCTGGAGGCTTATATCTACTCCATGAAGGATAAGGTGAGTGCATGAAATGGCATGCAAGGGTAAGGTGAGTGTGAGAGACGAGGTACAGTGGGAGGAGGGGAGAAGCGGGCTGTTACTGAGACGAAGAACACTCTGGAGGCTTATATCGACTCCATGAAGGATAAGGTGAGATGCGAGGAGAGATGTGAGGATAAAGGGTGTGAAGGCAGGGGGTATAGGAGAAGCGGGCTGTTGCTGAGGCGAAGAACACCCTGGAGGCGTAAATCTACTCCATGAAGGATAAGGTGAGCGTGAGAGGCGAGGTACAATGGCAGGGTGGAGAGAAGAAAGGCGAAGAACACTCACGAGGCGTATATCTACTCTATGAAGGATAAGGTGAGAGAGGGACATGCGGGGGTGAGACGTGAAAGAGACATGGGAGGACAAGTGGGGGTGAGAGAGTGGGGAGAAGAGAGGCTCTGATGAGGCGAAGAACACTCTGGAGACGTATATCTACTCCATGAAAAATAAGGCGAGTGGTGGGGGACGGTGGAGAGTCGGGACGAATGCGTAGGTTGAGAGGGATGAGGCGGAGCGCTGTTGCTGAGGCGAAGAGGCACATTTTTTGAAGGCGCATTTTCGCTCACCACATAGCAGCAGCACAAGTTGCTGTATCCTCACCCCCCTTACCCGCCCCCTGCCCTTATCCGCCCTCACCTCCCCGAATAACCCTCACCTTACAGATGGAGTCAGAGGAGGATCTATTTAGATTCACCACGGAGCAGCAGCGCGATGCTTTTCACACATCCTCACCTTCGACACCCTCCTTACTTCTTCCCCTATTAACCATGACCAAACAGATGGAATCAGAGGAGGATCTGATCAAGGTCACCACGGAGCAACAGCGCGACTCCTTCCGCTCCCAGCTAGTTGATGTACGTCTCCCCAGCTCCGTCTCGCCTGCCATTCTGTGCTCTGCTGCACTTTTGAGTCGACTCAAAAGTCATCTCCTTCTGCTCCCAGCTAGTTGATGTACGTCTCCCCAGCTCCGTCTCGCCTGCCATTCTGTGCTCTTGATACCCGTGTTTACTTCTTTAGCCGATCCAGTAAGTTCTCTGCTGCTGCTGCTGCTCTTGGCCCAATGTACGCCTGTCCCGCTTTCCCGCTTTACCAAAAGTGTGGGGAAGTGTCCTTTTCCACTTGCCCGCTTCGCCTCCCATTCTGTGCTCTGGATACCCGGATCGTCAAGGCAACTTTATTGATTGCAGTGGAATAGCCTAAATTGTTGTACCATGTTCTGCATGCATGTGCACGTGTATGTGCATGGGTATGGACATGGGCATGCGGATGTGCCCGGGCATGGCATGGGCATGGGTATGGGACTGGGGAATGGGGCATGGGCATGGGCATGGGCATGGCAGGCCGAGGACTGGCTATACATGGATGGGGAGAACGCCAAGGCAGCAGAGTTCAAGGCCAAGCTGGGTGACCTCAAGAAAACCGGAGATGCCTTCATGTTCCGGTCAGTGCTTGCTTCGGGAGTGGAGCCGTTCCACTCTAGGCATTATCTGTCTGTCTTCTTTTCCAGTCAGCAATCAAATGATGCTTTATTCCGCTTTTCTCTTTGACATAGCCACTCCTCCCCTGCCCTACCCCCAATCTCCCACCCCTGATTCCCTGACTCCTACTTTTCTCAAGCGCCGCAAGAAATGACACCCCTGAACCCCTTATGCCCTGTTGCTCTTCTTCCTATTCTGCAGCAAGAACGAGCTGACTGCTCGCCCTGCTGCTGTCGGTGTTGGCCGTTCCTTTGCCGACTCCACGTATGATGTACGTTCACCTCTTCCCACTGCTCGGCACCACTTAGCATCCGTCCGCACCGCACACCACAGTTGCAGTTCATTGCCTTCAACAGATGTTGGCTGTTTGCTGTGGACCATCAGTTTACTGGAATATTGCACCCAGTGCTCCAGTCAAACTGCGTCTGGGATACAAGTTTAATCATCACTATGAATATGAATATTAGTAGCAGTATGTTGCAGTAACGAGTGAGCATGTTTTTTTCTGTTCACGCTGCTCCCCCCGCCCATCCATCAGCTACTGGAGTCGTGGAGAACCGAGAAGCCATGGTTGAACGCCACCACTGACATTGACCCGGTATGTGCGAGCGGTCTTGAGTATTCCTGTCTGTGATGGGGTAGAGAAGTGCATTCAACAGGCTTCAGTGAGTCATGGAGAACCGAGAAGCCATGGTCGAACAGCACCACTGACATTGACCCGGTATGTGTGATCATGGGTATACTGTGTTACATGGATGTGGAATACGTGGTACCTGACTGATAGTGGGAGGTAAATTGAACAGCTGTGGTGAGTCCAACAGGCGTTGGAGTCGTGGAGAACCAAGAAACCATGGTTGAAATATATGTACGTATGTGTTGTTGATAGGCATAGCAATTGACCATGGCTTGGTGTCACCAAGCGGGCTTGACTCCTCTTGGTGTGACCATGTCAACATTGACCCAGTGTGGTGTGACCATATCAACAACGACCACGTGTGTGAACAGATACTCCTCTCTTGAAAGCTATACTAGTATGTGCTGAAGCCCAGGTGTTGCCTGACATAAGGCCTAAAATTTCCCTCTGACTTTTTCTCGCTCCCGCCCTCTCCCCCTCTCACCCCTTCCCCATGTGTGCACCCAGGTTTTGTCTGACGTGGAGGGCTTTATTAAGTGGCTTGACGAGAAGACAGCAGCTCAAGCCAAGTGAGTTTGTTGGCCTTACATGCTAGCCCAAACAAGTGACTCCCTTGAGAACTTGCAACGTGTAGGAAGGTCAGAGCTATAGGATGAAAAAAAATCTCTTTTCCTCGCCCCCCCTTCGCCAATCAGCCTCAAATGCTAGCTCCATCCACCACTCTCTTCCCGTTTTCCTACCCCATCCCCCTTCCTCTTCCACCTTTCTCCACTTCCCACGATCTGCTACTGCTGCTGGGTACAGGAAGCGTGCTCATGAGGACCCAGCCTTTTCATCGAAGGAGGTCTACAGCAGAGTGGATACCATCGAAGCCAAGGTACTTTGCCGCTCAGGTTCTGCATCTCGCACTCTCACTACCTGTCATACCGAACCATTCATGACCCAGCCTTTCCATCCAAGGAGGTTTACAGCAGAGTGGATACCATCGAAGCCAAGGTACTTTGCTGCTCAGATTCACACCGCCTCACATATACCATTCATTAAAACCATTCCCTTCATTCAAGGAGGTCTACAGCAGAGTGGACATGATCACACACACCACTCCCCTCCTTAGTGCCTCATTCCTTCGCCTACCCCTCATTCCGTCTCCCCCTCTTTCCGCCTTCCCCTCAGGTGAATCGTGTCAAGCGAATCCCGAAGCCGAAGCCCAAGAAGGTTCCTGCACCTCCCTCTTCCCGCAACGCCACCACCAGCAACAACACCACTGGTGCTTCTGATTCTACCACTGAAACCCCTTCCTCCTCTTCCACTAAGGACAAAAGTGCCTCCCCGCCACCGGCCGGCGGTGAGGAGAAAGGAAAGGGCGAGGAGTGGAAGGATGTGCGAGATGAGTTGTGAGACTCGGAGCGACACATCGGCATGCCTGCTATGGTAACATCGGCACGCCTGCTATGGTAACATCGGCACGCCTGCTATGGTAACATCGGCACGCCTGCTATGGTGTGGTAACAATGCCTATGTTGTACTGTTTTAATGTTTTGGAATTACGGAGGCTAGCGTCCACCTCACTGGCCTGCTGTCAAATGTTGTAGCCTGTAGTGAGGTTTGTCTTAGGGGGTACAGAAGTTAGGGTTTGTCATATGTACCCCAACCAACATCAATGGCACACTCATTCCTCATTCTGACATGGTATCAGCTAGGTTAGGATCCTGTGGGATCCCGTTCCTCCGTTCTCCGTTCGTACCTCCCGAGCCTGATCCTACCTCTCGTTCGTACCAGTTTCGTTGTTACCCGCGCCTAGTACCGAGCCTAGCGCCATCCCCCCCGTCGCGTCACGCCCGTATCCCCCCCGTCGTGTCGCGCCCGTTCCCCCCGTCGCGTCGCGCCCGTTCCCCCCGTCGCGTCGCGCCCGTTCCCCCTGTCGCGTCGCGCCCGTTCCCCCCGTCGCGTCGCGCCCGTTCCCCCCCGTCGCGTCGCGCCCGTTCCCCCCGTTGCGTCGCACCCGCCTGTTACCCCCCCCGTCCCGTCGCCCTGTCCCGTCGCGTCGCCCTGCCCTGTCCCGTCGCCCTGTCCCGTCGCGTCGCCCTACCCCGTCGCGTCGCCCTGCCCTGTCCCGTCGCCCTGCTCCGTCGCGCCGCCCTGCCCCGTCGCGTCGCCCTGTCCCGTCGCGTCGCCCTGCCCCGTCGCGTCGCTCCCGCCCTTTCCCCCGTCGCGTCGCCCTCCCTAGGCCCTGGCCCGTCGCCCTCCCTAGGCCCTGGCCCGTCGCCCTCCCTAGGCCCTGGCCCGTCGCCCTTCCTAGGCCCTGGCCCGTCGCCCTCCCTAGGCTCTGGCCCGTCGCCCTACCCTAGGCCCTGGCCCATTGCCCTACCCTAGGTCTTGGCCCGTCGCCCTAGCCCGCTCTTCCGCTGCGACTGAGTCCTCTTCCCCCCCGGTTGTTACTCGCCTGTTCGTTCGCGTTAATTCTCACTATGGCGACTCCGCGAGTTCTTCGTTTCGACGCCGACGGTAGACCCCTTGACTTTTCCGTCTGGCTTCTTCGCGCTCGTCGTCTGTTAGAGAGTCAGGTCCAGGGGGGCGAGACCCTCTGGTCACACGCTACTGGTGACCTCCCCGAGCCCCCCGAGCCTACAGCTTTAGGCCCTGCTCCTGACGACGCTGCTACGGCTCGCTTTGCCCGTCAGCGCGCTGACCGGACGGCTTGGACGTCGCGTGACGCTGCGGCCTGCATCGCACTCAGCAGCCTCCTCCCTGAGTCCGAGGAGGTCCACTTTACTCAGGTTCGCACCGCTGCTGCGTACCTCACTGCGATTAAGGCCCGCTACTCTACTCCCGCTACTGTCTCTCTCGGCCGTCTTTTCCTCCCGTTCCTGTTTCCTGATCTTGCCTCGTTTGAGCGCTCTGCTGACTTGATCGCTCACCTCCGCTCGCTCGACGCTAGTTACCCGCGCTGCTTGCACTGAGGCACAGCTTGCACTGCTTCCTCCCCCCATGGCGATTACTGTCTATTTCATCGCCACTAGCCTCCCTGACCGCCTTGCCTCCGTTCGTGACGCGCTTCTGCTGAAGCACCCTAGTGAGCTGACTATCGAGGTCCTTGAGTCTGCACTCAAGGACGTCGAGAGCAACCTTCGTTCGGTAGCTGCCGCCTCTGGTACTGTGTCCCCCCCACTCTTCCACGGGTGCACAGTCCCGCAGTTACCCACCTTCACTGCCTCTCTTGCCACTGCCGCTACTGACGCGACTGCGGCTGCTGTTACGACTGCGTCGCGGTCCCGCGGCAGGGGGGGCAAGAAAGGTGGTTCCGGTGGAGGTGGAGGCGGAGGTAGCGGAGGTAGTGGGGGTGCTGTTGCGACTGGCGGTGGTGGGAGTGCAGCGTCTGGAGAGACCCCTCGTGCAGCGGCTGGTGACTCCACTGCACCTGCTGGTGGCGGCGACCCTCGAGCTCGTCAGTCGCCTCCTGTACTGCCGGCCCCGCTAGGTGGAGCAGCGACGTGGTACCAGGCTCAGCGTCAGCAGCACCTTCAGCAGCAGCAGCAGCCCCTTTCCTCCCAGCAGCCTCAGCAGCAGCAGCGTCAGCAGCTGGCTCCGGGGTCGGGGCTGCGTCAGCCCCAGCGCGGTGCTGCTTACCCTCCCTGCCCCTACCAGGTTCAGACAGGTCCTCGTCGGGGCCACCCTTGTGGCCGCTTTCACCCCCCTGGTCAGTGCTTTGCTCAGCTCACTGACACGGTCCGGTTGACCTACGGGGTTGGCGGTCCTGCTCCTGACTGGCTTCCTCTGGTTCAGCGCTACGGCTCCGCTCTGTGGGGCATGTCTGCTGAGCAGTTAGTTGATCTGATTAGTGCTCCTCATGCTATGTATGCTGTTGTTGACTCTAGTGTTTCTGACTCTGTTTACTCTGGTGTTGTTAGCTTAGGTGCTAGTCTTGCTCAGTTGCCTGTTGCTAGTGTAGGTACTTGTGTAGACTCTAGACCAGCGACTACCTCAGAGGACGCTTCGCTGTCGTTCACACTGGACTCTGGAGCCTCCCACTGCTTCTTTCGGGACAGCACGACACTTACACCACTTCCTGCGCCTGTTTCTGTGGCGTTGGCTAATCCCACTACGGGACCAGTCACTGCACGTCACACTACCACTTTACCGTGTCCTGCTGCTCCCTCCGGGTCTCTCACTGGGTTTCACGTCCCCTCGTTCTCCCGGAACTTGGTGGGCGTGCGACCCCTCGTGAGCCAGCACGTGGGTGTGTGGTTTGAGCCTTCTGGAGAGACTGCGGTGTGTGTTGACGGAGACTCTTACCAGCCTCTTGCTACCTTTACTGCTGAGCCGGGCTCGGGTCTCTACACTCTTCACACTGGCCCGCGTGCGCCGCAGCAGCAGCCGCAGCAGCAGCAGCAGCCGCAGCCGCAGCAGCAGCAGCAGCAGCACCAGCGGCCGCACCAGCAGCCCCCCCTACTGCCACTGCCCCCGGTTCCCCCCCCCGTTCGGGTCCCCGCGTCTCACCAGGTTGCTACGTCCCCCCAGGTGTCTGTGTCGTGTCAGGTTCCTACGTCTGTTCCAGTCGCTGCGTCGTGCTCCTGCCGGTCGCTTGCCCACCCCACCGTTCTGTGGCACCACCGGATGGGGCACCCGTCCCTTCCACGTCTGCGCGCTATGTCTAGTCAGCGTCTTGTCCTAGGCCTCCCACGTGTCTTGCCGTCGCTGCCGACTGCCTTCGCCTGCGCCGCCGTGTCGTCCCTGCGTCGAGGGTAGGCTGCGCGCCACCCCTCACTCCTCCTCCCTTCGTCCGGCCACCGAGCCTTTTGAGACGCTTCACTTGGACGTCTGGGGCCCAGCCCGTCGTCTAGGCCCTGAGCGTGAGCGTTACTTTCTGGTGGTCGTTGACGACTTCTCCCGCTACACCACAGTGTTCCCTCTGGCGAAGAAGTCTGAGGTGACTTCTACGCTGATCAGGTGGTTGCTCACCACTGAGGACACTCGTGGTCGTCGTGTCAGCTGTCTTCACTTCGACCGTGGGGGGTGAGTTTCGCTCCGGCATTCTCGCTGGATTCTGTCGCGAGCAGGGCATTCGTCAGTCCTGGACGCTTCCAGAGTCCCCACAGCAGAATGGGGTTGCTGAGCGCCGCATAGGCCTGGTCATGGAGATCGCCCGCACCTCCCTGACTCACGCCTGTGCCCCCCATTTTCTGTGGCCCTACGCGGTCAGGTACGCCGCGCACCAGCTGAACCTCTGGCCACGTGTCTCTCGACCAGAGGTTTCACCGACCAGTCTTTGGACAGGGTCCCCTGGTGTTGCGTCGCGGTTTCGTGTCTGGGGGTGCTTGGCTCTTGTCTGCGACACCTCCGCGGACAAGCTCTCGCCTCGTGCCGTCCCCTGTGTCTTCCTTGGTTTCCCTGAGGACTCCTCTGACTTCACCTTTTACCACCCTCCCTCTCACCGGTTCTTTGACTCCCGTGACGTCCGTTTCGAGGAGTCCACTCCGTACTACGTCAGGTACCCCGGTCGAGGTCTCCCGGTTCCTCCTCCCCCCCTCTTCCTGACTGCCGTTCCCCCTCCTGCTCCCCCGGTACAGCCTCCCCCCCCTGGTCCAGCCCCGTCAGGTGTGTCCCAGGCTACCCCTCATCCTTCGGTAGCCCCTCCGGTACAGCCTCCCTCCCCACAGTCCTCCTCGCAGCGTGCCGCTGGTGCTAGCTCTCGAGAGGTTGGTGCGACGCCTGTTCCTGTACCGGTTTCTGGTTCTGGGGGTGCTGGAGTTAGAGCTGGAGTTGGAGCTGGAGTTGGAGCTGGAGTTGGCACTGGAGTTTCTGGTTCTGGGGGTGCTGGAGTTGGAGCTGGGGTTGGAGCTGGAGTTTCTGGTTCTGGAGTTGGAGCTGACCAGGTGGGTGCAGAGGACTCTTGTCGTCCGGGAGCTGGTGCTGGCCGCGCGGACACTGGGGGTGCTGCGTCTGGGGGTGAGGGTGCGCCTCCTTCTGGTTCAGGTGAGCCTGGGTCTGGAGCTGGTGTTAGTGCTGCCTCTGGGGGTGGTGAGCCTAGTTCTTCTGGAGTGGACTCTGGAGCTGCCGCTGCTTCGGACACTACTCCGCCCCCCCACCCCTACCCGACTAGGCACCAGGCTCGTGTTCGCCGTGCCCGTGACGAGCAGCTGGCGTTGGAGAGAGAGGAGAGGGAGTTACAGCGGCTGGAGGAGCAGCAGCAGCAGCTGGAGCCGCAGGAGCAGCAGCAGCAGCAGCAGCAGCAGCAGCTGGACCCGCAGGAGCAGCAGTCCCAGCAGCAGCCGCGTCCGCAGCAGCAGCAGTCACAGCCGCAGCAGCAGCAGCCACTTCCTCCTCCTGTCTCGGGTCTTCGGATCCTTGGTCTCCCCTCCCCTTCTCCTCCCTCCTCCGCCTCTCCTCCTGTCTACGGTCCCACGTTTCCTCCTCCTGACTCCTCCCCCGCTGTTTTCCCCAGTTCTCCGCCCTTGTCCTCTTCTCCTCCGTCTCGTTCTTGGGCTACTCGTCGCTCCCCTCGTGCTCGTCCCTCGTCTTCTGTTCCCTTCACTGACCTTCGTACTGCCTTCCTTCTTTCTAGTCCACCTCGTCCGTCTCAGTCTGTGCTTCCATCTCCTCCTGAGTCGGCCCTCACTGTGTCGCTCCCTACTCCTGTCACTGACTACTACCGCACGTACCGTCCTGTTCTCTCTCGTGTTCTCGCCTCTCTTGTTACTCACCCTCGTGCCTCTGTGTCCTCTGTGTCCGCTCTTACTGCCGCAGTTACTGACTTTGCCTCTACCCGCCGCCTTGACTACGCCACCACGCTTGTGGCTGCTCCTCCTACCAGTCCTCTGGCCGTCGGGGGTGTGTCTGCCCTTGGCTGTGACGCCCTAGAGGACAGGCAGGTTGAGCTAGAGTTCCTGGCGGCCGCTTCCCCTCATCTCTGTGCCATGCTCCTCGCCCCTGAGGGTGACCCCGGACGCCCTTGACATTCCGACTCCTCGCACTTACGCTGAGGCAGTGTCAGGGCCTTGGGCCTCTCAGTGGAGAGCTGCCATGGACGCAGAGATGGCCTCCTACAGATCCACAGGCACCTACGTCGATGAGGTTCCCCCCCCTGGGGCGAACGTAGTCGACGGCATGTGGATCTACAGGGTGAAGCGGCCACCGGGATCTCCCCCGGTCTTCAAGGCGCGCTAACGTGGCTAGAGGTTTCAGTCAGCGTGAGGGAGTTGACTTCTTTCAGACCTTCGCACCTACCCCGAAGATGACCACTCTTCGGGTGTTACTACACGTAGCAGCACAGAGAGACTACGAGTTACACTCTCTCGACTTCTCCACTGCTTTCCTTCAGGGGCAGCCTACACGAGGAGGTCTGGTTGCGTCGTCCCTCGGCGTTCACTGGCACCTTCCCTCCTGGGACCCAGTGGAGGCTGAGGCGACCTGTTTACGGTCTTCGCCAGGCCCCTCGTGAGTGGCACGACACTCTGCGTTCTACCCTCTCTGACCTTGGGTTCCAGCCGTCTTCTGCCGACCCGTCGCTGTTCGTCGTCGTGGCTCCACACCGTTCTTTGTTCTGGTTTACGTCGACGACCTAGTTTTCGCCACTCCGGACAGGGTTGCTTTGGCAGACGTGAAGTCCGAACTGCAGAAGAGACACACGTGCACTGATCTTGGTGAGCTGCGGCACTACCTTGGCCTGCAGATCACCAGGGACAGAGCCGCTCGCACCATTACACTCTCACAGTCACACATGGTGCAGCAGGTCCTTCAGCGGTTCGGGCTTCAGCACTCCACCGTACAGCGCACACCTCTCGCTGTTGACCACAGACTCACTGGTCCCTTTCCTGACGAGCCGTTTGAGCCTAGTGGTCCCTACGCAGAGCTTGTGGGTTGCCTCATGTACCTGATGACTTGTACTCGCCCGGACCTCGCCTTCCCTCTCAGCATCCTTGCGCGCTTTGTTGCGCCAGGGAGACACCGTCCTGTTCACTGGACGGCAGCTGTGAGGGTGGCGAAGTACCTAGCGACTACATCAGGCGTGGGCGAGTTCTTGGAGGGCAGCAGTCCTGTCGTACTCACTGGTCACTGTGAATCCTCTTACGCTGACGACGCTGAGACTCACAGGTCTACTCAGGGGTACTCTGTTTCAGTCTGGGTTCTGGAGCTGTTTCCTGGCGTTCCACGCGCTCCTATTCTGTCTCGACCTCTACAGCTGAGGCTGAGATTTACGCTGGTGCCATGGCGGCACAGGAGTTGCGGTGGTTGACCTTCTTGCTCGCCCGACCTTGGTGAGCGGCCGAGCTCTGCACCGACCTTGTTTACTGACAACAAGGCGTCGATCCTCCTCTGTCGTGAGCCGCGACTGGAGAGCAGAGTGGAAGCCACATTCACGTCAGGTACTTTCTTCTGCGAGAGTTGCAGAGGCGTGGACAGGCTTCGCTTCGAGTTTGTAGAGTCCGAGGCCACACTGCAGACATCTTCACCAAGAACGCTTCCGCCTTGTGACCACCAGAGGTGTTGTGTGCAGTTAGGCCTTGTTGACACAGGTTTCTAGTCATGCGTAGACTTGAGTTTATTGCCTGCTTCGTTTGTACTTTTACTATATATACTTGTGATCTCTTGGACTGGCCTTGTGGCCACTGTTGCTTGTGCTCAGAGTGTGTGGTGACGTTGTGATCCACCCTGAGCTTTGTTTTCTTT